TTCTCAATTGAGTTTGTTCGTAAATCAGCAAATTAGACAGCTCACTCTCTTGCTAGAGATGCTGCTTCTTTGCCTGGTTTCCTGGAATGGGGTGCTACCCTTCGATTTTATTTTGGATGTTCTCCGATTTGATTCTACTTAATAAAGTTCTAATCCTTTGTAAAAAAAAAAAAAATTGTCACGTCAGTATATAATAAAAAATCTATAAATGTTAGAAACATTTTTCAAGTACATAAAAGCAATCATAAATTGGTCTGATTCGATTTTCTTAAATCAAACTTGCTATTTTAGACTTAAATTTCATTTGTTTCTAAAAAATAACTTATCTTTGAAAAATGTTTTCATTTTCCTTGGAAAGACTTATTTAAATTTGGAAAATGTTTTTCTTTTTTTTAGAAAGACTTATCGTTACAATTTGAAAAATAATATTAGAATAATGCAAAAAAAAAAAAAAAGCAAATTATGAAAATTACCAACAGTAATAGCTGGTAAATTTATAAGGATATAATAAATTTATCAGACCGAAAAATATACTCCTAAAAATGAAAAGTCATTTTCCTTAATTTTCTCAAACTAAATTTATTACTTTCAGCAACCTTAAAATCTATTTAACTATTTTTATAAAAACCTTAAATTTAAATATCTTTCAGCAAGTTACTTTCTACAAGTTATTTTACGGAAACAAACGGAGCATAAATTGGTTGCCTACAAGTTATATAACATACAACTTTATGCGTTTTTTTTAGGATGGTATTATTTCCAGAAACACTAATTATTAACATCATAGCAATAACATTCTATACAATATCACTTGACAAAATTGCCCTCAATGAATTTATCTCTTCTCTCTTTCTTTTTTATCTCCACGGGAACATTAATTCAGTTTTTTTAAAAAGGAAAAAAATTGAAAGAAATAACTAAACAATCTAAATAAATGAATGCTTTCGATTCCATTGCTATACTTAGTTCTCACACAAAGTTCTTGCTATAGCAAATTTATCTTATAAAAAAAAATGTGCAATTGACAAGTTAAAAATGGATTTACACAAAGTTCTTGCTATAGCAAATTTATCTTATAAAAAAAAATGTGCAATTGACAAGTTAAAAATGGATTTATGAAAAAATTGCGGTAACACAATACTTCAATTACTTTATAGAAAAGAGATGTTTTCCAAATATTGATCCAAATTTATTTATGAAAAGATAAAAAGAATAAGAAAAGAAAAGACAAGGCCTGAATACATAATAAGTTTATAATTTGTTTTTCTCTTTTTTAATGAGAGCATGGTATTTGTAAAGAAATGTTATGTTATTAGGAAATAAGAGAGAGCTTTGGACCAGAAAAAAGAGGTATTGGTGTTGAGTGATGGTGATCCAAGCATTGAATTTATTTAGATTGTTTAGTTCTTTCTTTCTTTTTTTTTTTTTTTTTTTTTTTTTTTCCCCTTTTGGAAAAAGCCTGAATTAATGTTTCCTGTGGAGATAAAAAAAAGGGGGGGAAAAAGAGATAAATTCATTAAGGGGTAATTTTACATCAATGTATTAATAAAATGTTATTCGCTCTGGCGTTCCTCTAGAATAAAAAGAGCCCAACCCTTGAGATTTTATTATTTATATTAGTTATGAGTATAAGATAAATCGATTTCATTACTTACTTTTAGATTTAAATATAAGTAGGTGATAATATATATATATGCATCAATATATAATTAATAATATAATATATAGTATATTTATGCAACAGATAGAGGTGAACTGTAAATTTTGTCGCGCTAAAAAGAATTCACGACGAGATTGTTGATATCAATCCAGGGATCGGGTTAAATATAATATGCTTCCATAAAGTACAAAATACCGCTTTTAATCTAAGTACACATATTGGTGCGGATCTTCCGTACAATACAGGATTTGTAGTCACAACCAATATTTCCTGCTTGTCAGATTTGCCTTGCGATCTATTTCAACCTGCAATCTGCAATTAAACTTTACAACTGTTTGAAAGGAAAAAAACTAATTTATCAAGAATTCCTTAATTTTAAGTTTCGCTAGTTCTGAAATTGGGTGTGCTTACCTCTCATCCATCTTCTATTCTTGAAAATAAGATAGTATTATTGGTCATTTTGAGTACAGCAGATAATAAAAGATTTTGATATTTTTTTGTCTTTCGTGAATCTTCAAAACTTTTTTAACACCCATTTAATAGAGCAAATCATAATACAAAAAATTGAGTTTCCTCCATAACTGTAATTTGCTCAGTTATAAAACCTTCAAATGAAGCTGAGCTTATTCTATTTTCATTATGGGTACTTTGGTTTTTCCATTATTTCTTATATTTTTTTTTTAGCACATCTTTCATTTTTAAATATTGATATACAGATCTCAGAGAGGTTGAATTAGTTCAGATTCAAAATTTCCATATTTCTATTTTAAATTGACCGCAGTCATCGAATCAGGGCTCAATATCAGGGATATCTTTTCTCCTAGTATTTCCTTAAAATCCTTTCTTCTCTACTCGAGTCTGATAACGATAAAGAATCAAGGAATAGATGATATTGTGTGTCGCCTTTAAGTGCAATGTAGTTCTTTAACTATTGTGGAGGTTATGTTCAGTATATATGAGCTATTGAGTATCGGCAAGTGTATAATACTAATCTTTTATGAATATATTATGAGTATATAATTAAGAGAGAAAAACAGAATCAGAGAAAAATGTTGTATTGAGTTGTTAGGCAGTATATAAGTGGTGAAAAGATTAGATTTTGATGAGGATGGACGAAATAAAGGAGCTTGCAGAAAGGGAGTGTATAGCGATGGGCATTTGGAAAAATTTTCATCTGGATCAGGACTTTAGAATGCATTGATATAAATTCATCCCTCTGATTTGATACAGGTTTTGATGATATTGAAGTTTTAGTGAAAGAAAAAAAAACTTGCAAAGCGAAACAGAAGAAAATAAGATAGGTGAATTTAGTCGCAATTTTTTAGCTCTGGAATTAACATTTATGCTACTTATATTGATACATCCACTCCTAAAATTAATAACTTACTAATAAATTATGAAAATAACCGGCTAAATTAACCGCTGCAAAAGGGTAAAACTCATAATGCCCAAGCTAACGTGGGGTACAGTGCAACTAAATGTTAAATATGGTGGGTCAGGATCGGAATCTTTATCTCCATAAAGAAATTTCCATTCATTTCATCATTGCAATCACTTCTTCCTTCTTGTCGACTCTCCTCTTGCCACTCACACGCTCAGTCCCTCTCCTCTCTGCAGAACAAAACTCTTCATCTCTAAACCCCTATTTTTCCTTATCTGATCAATCGACAATGCGGGCGAAAATGAACGACGCAGAATGTCTCTCAAAGCAGACTAAAACAGCAGATGGTAAACCAGAGACCGCTCCAGGAAGCACGACAGAGAAAAGCCCCAATGAGATTCTCCGTTTCTGTGAAAGTAAATCTGTCAACGAAATATCCACTAACAACAATCAATTACAGATTTTTTTAAGATTTTCATTAATTTACGTGGTGGTCTGACTATGTTATGATTATCGGACTGAAGGTTCATTTTGCCTTTCATTATTTCATCGCCACATAATACATTTGCATTTCGATTTGGATTTTTGCGCATAGGAATTATGAGAAATGACTTGAAAGCCAATTGTCAGGCTGAAGTAGAAATGAATGAAGAGATAATTAAGAATAGAATCAGCAGGGCTAATTGAGACGTAACAAGATGAGAGCAAGTTGAAGTTCCGAACAAAGAGATGGTGAAATTTTCCTCATCCTTTTCTGTATCGTATTAGTTGGGTAGACTTTTATTTAGACTATTATATATATTATGAATTAATAGGGTGATGTTATTTCTAGATCACACATTGTTAATTCCAGAGCTAAATTAATTACTTAGACAAAATTACCCTTTTAATTTACTTTTCTTATCATGTCAAACAGATTGTAGTACAACAAATTCTCTTCAGATTTGCCTTTGTCTATTAACTTGAATCTGCAATTAAATTTAACTTTAAGGAAAAACTAATTTATCAAGAATTCTTAATTTTAAGTTTCCTAACCTTCTGAAATTGTTTCTTTACCTCATCTTTCTTCTTAACATTAGATATAATTCATTGATACAAATAAAGATTTGATATTTCTTTTCTTTCGTGAATTCTTCAAACTTTAAACTTTAAGAGCATCAAAATATATTTCCTCCATAACTGTAATTTGCTCAATTAATAACCTCAAATCAGCTTTCATCTTCTCTTCTTACATTTATTCATAGGTACTCCAATTCTATTTTAGCATCTCATTTAATGAAGCATCTCATTTAATGAATTGTCAGATTCAAAATTCACTATCATTAACCCATGAACAGCCTCAATATCAAGAGGATATTTTCTCTAGTATCTTCTTAAATCCTTTTCTCACATCTGATACCATAAAAGATCAGGAAAGAAAATTGTTTTCCTTATGCATTAGTTTTACCAGTGTAGTTTCAGTATATAGAGCTGTATCGGCAAGTATATACTAAATCTTTTATCAATATATTTGAATAATTAAAGAAAAATAGAATCAGAGAAATGTTGTATTGTTGTTAGCAAATAATGGTGAAGATTAGATTTTGAAGGAGAGGGAAAATAAGGGCTTGCAGAAGGATGAGCGATGGGCAGTTTGAAAATTTTCATCTGGATCCAGGACTTTTGATGATGCCATTGATAATTCATCTCTGGATTTGATAAACAGGTTTTGATATATTTGAATTTAGTGAAAGAAAAAAAAACTGCAATGAAACCAAAAGAAAAATAAATTAAAAGGGTAATTTAGTCTAAATTTTTAGCTCTGGAATTAACCATTTATGCTACTATAATAACATCACTCTAAAATTATAATACTAATAAATATGAAAATAACCGGCTATTAACCGGCTGCAAAAGGTAAACTCATATGCCCTAAGTAACGTGGGTACGTGGCAACTAAATGTTAAATATTGGTGGGGCAGGATCGGTAATCTGTTGATGCCATATAGAAATTTCCTTCTTTCATCATCATCTTCTTCTTCTGTCGACTCTCCTCTTGCCATCACACGCTCAGTCTCTTTCTCTCTGAGACAAAATCTCTTCATCTCTAAACCCCTATTTTCCTTATCTGATCAATCGACAATCGGCGAAAATGAACGACGCAGATGTCTCCAAGCAGATCCAGCAGATGGTCAGATTTATCCGCCAGGAAGCCGAAGAGAAAGCCAATGAGATCTCCGTTTCTGCTGAAGAAGTAATGTCCAATTTCCACTAACAACAACAATTACAATTTTTTTAAGATTTTCATTTTTCGTCTGATAATTGATTATCGGACTGATTCATTTGCTTTCATTATTTCATCGCATTTATTTGATTCGATTTGATTTTTGCGTAGGAATTCAATATTGAGAAGTTGCAGCTGGTAGAGGCAGAGAAGAAGAAGATCAGGCAGGAGTATGAGCGTAAAGAGAAGCAAGTTGAAGTTCGAAAGAAGATGTAATTTTTCTCTTCTTTTTGATCTATAGTTGGTAGATTTTTGCTTTTATGTCGTTTTGCTATTATTATGTACTTGTTGAGTTGCAAATTGAGTGCTAATTGATGAGTTTTAGATGTGGCATTATGGTGGCTATGTTTTGTTGTTTGTGATCAGCGAAGCTGATCAGGGAATTCCTTTCAGTCTTGAAATTGATGTGTTTTTGTGTGTATCTCATAATCTATTAGATCAGCCATATTCCTGTTGAATTTATACGAGTAGAATCCACCTTCAATATGTGTAATTCAACTCTACATGTAAATTTTTATACATTTAATGAAAATATGATTCTGTTTTCACGGTTGAATAATAAGAACCTAATCAGATGAGTTTTTGAAATTGTGGTATATTTCCGATAATATGTATAGCTATTCCTCCTTTTCTGTCAATTTGATTTGAAAATTAGTAGAAGGCTGCCCTTTTTCAAAATGGTATATAAACGCTATGGTATTGATTTTTCGCAGTGAGTACTCCATGCAGCTTAATGCTTCTCGAATTAAAGTTCTTCAAGCCCAAGATGATGTGGTTAATGGCATGAAAGAGGCAGCAGCAAAGGATCTTCTGAATGTGAGCCGTGATCATCATGTGTACAAAAAGCTTCTGAAAGATCTGATAGTTCAGGTCGGTTAATAACTGAGTTGATTTTCTACGTCATCTCAATGGGTTAAGAGAGTTTCGTATCCAACTATTTCAAACTAATGGAACTGTCTTTGTATAGAAACTAAAGTAAATCCTTACATGTCAATGGTAATCTGGCACCGTCATGACAGCCTGATGTCATTTGAATTTTGAACATTTTAGTATTGTGCCCAGTTTCATTCTTCAAGATATACAGTAACTTTTTAGTTTTGATTAAACAAATTGTTACCAGTATATGCTCAATAAGAATGCTGGCAGTTCTTTTTATTTTTATTTTTATTTTTTTGGTTGAAGAATTTTAACAAGAATCTGGACTTCTTTGTGGCAGAGTTTGCTTAGATTGAAAGAGCCTTCTGTCTTGTTGCGTTGCCGGAAGGACGACCTGCTTTTGGTGGAGTCTGTCCTCGATTCAGCCAGGCAGGAATATGCAGGAAAAGTAAATGTTCATGCTCCAGAAATCATAGTTGACAATCATGTCTATCTTCCACCTGCTCCAAGCCATCATAATGCCCATGGTCCTTACTGGTAATTTTTTCACTTTCTCATCCTTAAGCCCTAAAGTATACAGAGTTACTTATTCAAATATTAGTTGCCGTTTATGGAGGGGTTTCTAGGAAATTATCTATTGTTTGTTCTAAGTTGGTGTTTAACCTAGTAAAATGATTCTTTTTAGGATTTACCATTGTCTTCTTCTATCATATTTCATATGGTTGTAGACTAGGTAGCCACTGAGTCTAAGGTTTGAAATTGGTTCGTTTGATTTTTTGGAAAATCCTGGGTTTTTTTGAGAACATCTTTATTGAAAGAATGACAAGTATAACTTCTTTTATCCTTTAGTTCTGGTGGTGTGGTGCTGGCTTCTCGAGATGGGAAAATTGTGTTTGAGAATACTCTTGATGCTCGCTTGGATGTTGTCTTCCGTAACAAGCTTCCTGAGGTATGCTCCATTTAAACTGTTGTTATTATTGTTATTTCTTGATTTTATTGTTGTTCTTAGCACTCTTATGGTGGTTATAATAGCACTAGCTCTTGGTTTTTGAAACTAAGGAATGTATTTGTATTAAAAAGAAAGGAACAATAAAGAGAAGAAATAGAACAATTATGCTTGCAAGTCGCTATTGAAAGTGTGAAAAAAAGGGCCTCCTACTTGGTGCAACTCAATTGCTTTTGACAATTTGATCTATTTTGGCAACACACATGAAATGCCACGTTCTTTGGTTTTTTGTCCTGCTAAATCCAAGAGCAAGTTTATCAATGGATAATTATATGAAGGGGGAGAACTAGTGTGGCAGTCATCTTTTAATTTTCTATGTTTGTGATATTTGGAGCTTGTTCCAAAAGCTCTATCTATCTTTGGGTTCATTAATCTGGGAGAACAGCTCTCATTCTTTTGCTTTCTTTTGCACGTATGCTTTGTAGGGTCTGATAGCGGGACTTGGTTGTTTGGTTGGTGTTTTTGTCATTTTGGTCTTGAGCATCAAATTAGTTGCCTTTTCACTAAAAATGTTTCGGGGCATATAACAGTTACATGTGGGAACACAGAATTAATTGAAAACTGAAAACTAATGTATTTCAGCATTTTAAAGTTCTCGTGTAAGCAAATCTTTTTAGTAATTTTTTAAATGGCCAATCAAATGGCATAAATCGTGTCATTTTAATTCTTCGGACAGCTTACTGTATAGTATGAATTGCATCAATCTAAACTTGAAATATTTGGCTAGCACATTTGAAATCTTCATTTTATTTTTAGCATGGCAATTACTAAAACCATATTTGCTGCTTATTGCAGATCCGCAAGAGGCTCTTTGGACAGGTTGTTGCATGATGAGTTGGCTTGAACAGTTGTCTCACCTCGGATGATCTATGTCCAATATTTGGAGATTAGAATCTATTATAATTTCCATGGTTTCTGTATTTATTTTTCCCAAAAAAAAATCTTTTGGTCATAATTCTTGTTTGCAGAATATCTTTATTTGTGAATTAGGCAAGCTGGTACTTGGATAGTGCCGGTACTCGAATTCAATAATAAACAGAACATCTAATGTTTTGGCTGATGTCTGTTATTATTTGTTGTGAGTGCGTGTGTTGCTGCCTCTCGCACACGGCAATTAGATGACTCGAATCGAACCGGCCAATAAGAGAGTTTTGTTTTCTTAGTAACTTCAATCTCTTGCTTCTGTTATTCATCCGATGTTACAAATTCCCTTAAGCATGAGCAATTCTCAGTTTCTGACCAAAAATTGAATCAAACCGAAATTGATTCTTGGTTTGGATATAAAATCGTTTGGTTTTTGGTTTTTGAATCAATTACTATATAATAGCTGAAATTATTTTAAGGCTTCATTTGTTTCTGTGAAGTAATGTGCAAGAAAATATTTTTCATAATTTTTTATTGTTTGGGATATTCAAAAAAATAAGTCCAATGGAAAATATTTTTCTGGTCAAGGAATCAAAGGAAAATTAAAGAAAATGACTTTTCATTTTTAAGAGTATATTTTTCTGTCTGATAAATTTATTATATCCTTATAAATTTATCAGCTATTACTGCTGGTAATTTTTATAATTTGCTTTTTTTTTTTTTTGTATTATTCTAATATTATTTTTCAAATTGTAACGAAACAACAGAAAATAAGTCTTTCTAAGAAAAAGAAAAACATTTTCCAAATTTAAATAAGTCTTTCCAAGGAAAATGAAAACATTTTTCAAAGATAAGTTATTTTTTAGAAACAAATGAAATTTAAGTCTAAAATAGCAAGTTTGATTTAAAAAAATCGAATCAGACCAATTTAATCAGTTTCATCGATTATTATACTATTTAATTTTAAAATTTAGATATTATAAAAATATATTTAAATAAATCAAAACTAAGCTACCTAATTCAATTTGGTTCGATTTGACTAATTGAATGGTGCCCCTACCTTCCCCTCACAAAATGGAAAGAGCTATCTTCAACTTATATCTCGTCCTCTCTATTCTCATACGCTGAACGCATTCCATAAAATTTTAACAAATTCTTTTGTAAATTTACATTTGGAGTGCTTGATATAAATAAATGTTTATTTGAAATTTGAAATTTTAATTTTATAGAATTGACCGTATTTGGTGAAATTCTACCAAAATTGATAGAATTTGCCGATAAATGCTACATCTTAAGAAGAATACAAGCTAAATACAGATAGAAAAATTACATATTCATCTTTGTCTAATCTAAACCTCGAAAGTTCATTTATAAATAAAAAATTTTTAATAAAATTTATTTGCAAAGGAAATGAAATCTGTGTTCATTATACCAAACACTGTATATCATCATTTCAAGAGAACAAGGGAACAGCAAAATTAAAAACAGAGGTGCAAACTCAAGCTCGAAGACAAACATTCACAAACCATAGATACAACATGACAGCAATTAATGCACTTAATATTCAGAGCATATGTATGGAACCTCTAGCAAAATATATAATCAAATGCATTTTTCTAGTATAAATATTATTACCTATTTTTCATAATACTTGTCATGTTTAGAATTTTACATTCTTTAAGAAAATCATTAAATGTGTCTAAGTTAAAATAAACTATCGAGTAAATTGACTATATTACCCTTAATTTAATATTAATTCTCTAAAAAAACCATTAAATTAAAATAATAATTATTGGTCATATACAGAGTGTAAACATGGAAAAAAACATTTATTACTCATTGAAACTACAAATGTGACAAGTACTTTAGAACAAACTATTTTCTTAAATGTGACCAGTATTGTGAAACAGAAGTAGTATATTGTATTCCACTACGGCTTATCAAACATGGTCACAGTTCACATCCTAAATATGGTAATTACAACAGCTGAATAGAACGATGTATAGTCATTTACCAACTTCCCAACTTGTTATCGGAATTCTGATTGTGAAACCATTTTCTTCTTTTGGTGTATGCTTTGATTCTCTTAGAACAACCAGGAAGAGTGACCGGTACCACTCAGACAGCATTCCCACTCGACAAGCTGTTTAAAATTTCATCAACTCCACCTCAAAGAAGGAACATAAAACTGGTTGCAAAAAACCACCAACTACAACTCATAATTAAAACGTGTCCAATACTTCATGAAACCTATGTGAGCCAGCAAACAATAACCTATGTAGACTCAGATCACCTCGAGACTCGAGTTACATACAGGAAAAATATAAAGTGAAAACAAGGTACATTATCACAGAGATTTCAGAAAAACCAACAGTTTCGAAGTGTTTTGACTAGGAATTTAAGGGTCTCAATAAACATGCTAGTTAAAAAAAGATGATAAGAGAATGCATAGCCTTTCCAAAGATTTATCATTAACAGAAGTGTTTAACGGCCATTTCAATATTGCATTGAAATTGGCACATTCACTTCAAACTCTCTGTTTAGAACCTCACTCCAATTTTCCATATTTATTTTTCAATTATGCAACTATAACTTTTGTTCATTTCAAAACACAATTCAATCAATATACTTTCACATCTCTAAAGAAAGTATAGAACAATTTTTCGTGCATCACCCGAACAACATTGCTTCAGATCAGATGGTACCTGCATCAACCATTAAGTCATTTTTTAAATGACAAACCTCCAAAGTCTGACCGCAGATAGAAGCTTTGATTAAACCTTTAACAGTCAACCAATGAACAAGCTCTGCTCTACATCTATTTGGTTCACAAGGAAGAGAGAAATGTGTTTTAAGTATTCAAACTTGCTCATATAAGGCTTCACTTAAAGAACACAACTCTGCATCAAAAGGGGCTCAAATGTGGGATTCCTTTAAAAAGGAAGGAAAAGACAAGAAAGCTAATGGCCTCATAAATCCTAAACTTTGTGCAGATTTCAGATTTCAATTTTATTCTTGGCCAGCTTTTGTTCCTAAGCTTCCAAATATTAATCTTGGCCAGCTTTCATAAATTAACAATTTTAACAGACAAAAAGAGGAACTGGATTATTTTCTTTTATATGCCTAGAAACAAAGTAGAATGATGAATCCTCTCCAAACGGGTGGCAACGTACCTAAGTTCACTTGAGCAATGATGAATGATACATTAATAATTACCCCAAACTTCCACATCATTTCAAGCTATATTAGGAATATTTGCAGTAGGATCCAAAGGCCATCGAGTATATAAATTTACCCTAATGCTTCCACATAAAAGCTCAATGAAAGCATTTACAATTCTGTTCTCATCCAAGGTTTTAAATAACAAATTCAGAAACCATGTAACCAAATTGGATTGAATCAGTTGCTACCATCATGTACACTGTTTCAGAATTAGCATAATAACTCAAATGAATAATTCTACTAAATATTGTCAAAATCTTGCATGTCCTGGTGAGCTGAATCCAATACATAAACTGCTGATAATTTATGAAATTTTAAACTCTGCTCTTCTCACATGAAACTTAATATTACTTGCTTAATGAGGAGACGAAGACCTCTAAACTAAAACATCCACCTGGAGGTCTCCTCGAGTAACCTTATTAGTCCTTATTAGAAGCTTTATGTACAGCCAATGCTTATTTTCAAAATAAAGTTTGAAACCAGAACCTTGTGAGGCTTTTAGCATTTTCAAACCAAAAACTATGAGACCAACTACCCCTATCTCTTTCTAAAAGAGATTAGCCCAACAATAGCATTTTTCCAACAGATTTACAGGTTTGGCTGTCTGGTTTGTGCTCTTACTACACAAGTAAAAGAAAAACAAAAGACTAAAGCAAGAAGAGCATGTCAAATTGAATACAATATACAACTACTTCCCCCATTCTATTCAGCCACTAGATTTTGCATAGAAAAGGCGGAACCGCATAGAAAAGGTGAAAGCTCTACAGGATAATAGCTTTCAACTACTAGGAAGGTATGAAGAGAGAGCAGAGACTTGCTGCTAGCGTTGCCTTTGCTATTAATTCTTGTTAGTTAGTGAGAAAAGTCAATGGGAATAGCTAAAATTGGAAATGATTAGGGCATTCTTGCATCACATCAGTTCTCAACTATCAAAAAGTAAATTATCCGGTTAACCAAAAGGCAAAATAAATAGGAAAGATGTCAGCTAGATACAACAGTTTGCTCATTATTAAACAAACATTCAAATTTGATAGGACGTAATTCAAGACCAGTAGGCAATAAGTTTGCATATGCTAAAAAAGGAAGGAAGAGAGGGAGGGAAGGAGAAAGAGAAAGGGAGGGGGGGAAGACTGATTACCCAAATTTACCTAACAAGTCATCAGAAGACAAAAAGGAAATGCTAATCTTTGAGCTATTACATTTACAAAGCAAACTTGTATTTAGAGGAGAAATTTCTTTCCCTTTCTTTTTACTAATGCATTTCAGAAATAACAAAAGCAATTTTTACATTCTATAAAAGTTATCTATAACTAATTGTTTTATTATTTAAGTCAAGATACCAATATAAGCCCCCAATAAAATCTCTAAAACATTAGAAGGGAAGAAGACTTTCCCAGTATAGCAATATATGTCAAAGGCTGTAAAAGCTTGTTATAAGTTAGAATCTTGAGAATGACAATTCATGGAAAAATGTAGAATACAATCCGCAGGACCCTCTTTAAGCAAAGAAGATGCCTGATATGAACTCTTCCAATGAAATATGTGATTGATCTTACTAATATAAATTACCACACAAAACAATATTACAATCCCAAGGACAAAGATGATTCCCTTTTTCAATAATAATGTTTAGCTCTCAACATGTTGTGCTGTAATAACTCAAAAGAAAAATATTCTATTGCCAAAAATCCAATAAATGGTGAGTTCATGTAACTGTGGAAGGAATAAAAGAAAATATTATCATACATTGATATAGTTAAGCACTAGCACATCTGATACAAAACAACGTTGCATACAACTAATCGAGAATCTGCATTACCTGCCAAGCAAATCACTCATTTAGAAACCAAAAGAACTTCTGGTTTCTTAGCTTTACTGGGCGTGTTAGCATTGGCAGCTGCTGCTGCGGCCTTTGCAGCCTCCCGAGATCTCTTATCAAGCTGAATAAGGCTCCTTGTTGCCAATAAAACTTGTGGTGCCAAATCATGAGACCCCCTTGCATACAGTCGCCTAACTGCCACAGATGAGGCATCCTTAACGTCTTCCGGATTCATTGGGCCCAACAAACAATGTCCCAGGATCCTTAACAATGGCTGCAAAATCTCCCAAGGCAATGGAATCCTCACCCCCCTTGACTCTGAATCCACTGTAACATCTCTTTCAATCCCCAATTTCTCCATTTCCTCCACAACATCATCAATCTCATGCCCATTATTGCCATAGCCATTACTCAAGTTCCTATCCTCCAAAAAGTATCCACCACTCCTTCCATTTCCATTTTCAATTGCAATTTCTTTGTCAACATCAAATTTATCTTTACAAGCACAATCTTGACCAGCCCAATCGCTCGCGTATTTACACAATTCAACCTTAGACCAGCTCGGCATCTGAGAGATCTGCTTGAAATAACAATCAAGTGTAACACCAACAATGACCGGTCGTTTTGTAGATTTCACCGCGATCTGCGGCTCCAGCGGCGGCGACAAAACCCCAACAGACTGCTTAGAACTATTAAGTCCATGTGAATTTTGCTTGTTTCGAGGACTGTGGTAAAGCGAGGGCTGTGAAAGATCAGGAACCTGGACAAGTACTGGCTTGCCGGCGCGTGATTTTGCCTCGGAAGAGTAAATGGCAAGAAGAACAGCCTCAAAGCCGGCGAGAGAAGGAGTAGAAGTAGTTTCCGATGAGTGGATCCGAGAGAGGTATAAGCCTAAGAGAAGTGGAAGAAATGCGAGAACAATAAGACGGAGATGAGGGTCAGAGGAAAGGTAGGTCTCGTAAAGCCATTGACAGAGAGGATCAGAGCCAGAACCAGAGGAAGGAGAAGAAAGAGCAGAGGAAAATAGTGTATAAGCTTCGAATGAGGAGAGGAAGGAAAGGGCAGGCCGGTCGGAGTCAGCGAGAGAAGAAAGAGAAAAGGAAGAGGATGGATCGGAAGGAAGGAGGGAAGAGAGTGAGAGGATGCGGGCGCGAGCTTTGGAGACGGACTCCCACCAGGATTGCATGGGATCAGTAGTGGTGGTGGTGGTGGTGGTGGCGGCGGCGACGGTGGCAATAGGACGGAAAGCGGAGGGGGTGGAGGTGGTGGAGGAGGAAGGGGATAAGTTGTTCTGGTCGTTGTTCAATTCCATGAGAAGAGTGGCGGGGTTGACTGCGGGTGACCGTTTGGACAAGAAACGGAGAAATGGGTATTTAAAGTATGCTGACGTGGACTTCCTTCGTTTTAGGGGCATGATGTAAATGGAGATGTTGTGTAACGTGTGGTAGCCCCCGCGAAAGCAGAGTGAAAAAACCAATGTTATGAAAAACAAATCAGACCGGTCGGTCTAACCGGTTAACTTGTAATCGATAGTTAATCCAACTATCCAATCCGAGACACTTTTTCGTTTACTAGTTTTTTTTTATCAGGTTGCGTAATATGCTATTTTTTATAATTGTTTAGTTTTTTTTATTTAGATTAAAAATATAATTAGATTCTTATTTAGATCGTAAATAAATACACACAGTAAAATATTTTTTTAGTTATATATCTTGCACTGTAATATTTTATTAAAAAAATTAATATATTTATTTCTTTCTTTAAAATAGCTATTTAAATATGAAATATATCATTTATATTATCTTCAACATACTGATTCTAAAATTTTTATTATATATTAGTTGCTTTTATTTTTTATTTAAATAGTTGCTTTTTTTTATTTAAATACCAAATTGATTTTATAAAAATCACCACATATCTTTTAGTTTACGTTTTATAATTAATTTTCATGTTTTTTTAATAACTTTCCGTATAATCTCTTTTAGTAAATAAATATTTTTTAATAATAACTTTAGTTTCTCACTCTTTTTCTAAAAACCTAAAATTTAAAATCTCTCTTTTTTTTCTTCTCGGTGACCATCGTGAATTCCGACTGATAGTCACCCCTTTCCTTTTTTTTTTTTTTTTTTTTTTTTGTCGTATAATAATGCCATTTTTATAAATTGCTTTAGTTTTTTTTATTTAGATTAAAAAATATAATTAGCTTCTTATTTAGATCGTAAATAATACCACAACAGTAACATATTTTTTTAGTTAATATATCTTGCCACTGTAATATTTTTTAATTAAAAAAATTAATTATTTATTTCTTCTCTTAAAATAGGCTAATTTATAATAGAAAATAATATTCATTTATATTAATCTTCAACATAACTGATTCCTAAAAATTTTTATTATATAATTAGTTGCTTTGTATTTTTTATTTAAATAGTTGCTTTTTTTATTAATTTAAGATACAAATTGATTTTATAAAACTCACCACACTATCTTTAGTTTTACGTTTTATAATTAAATTTCATTTTTTTTAATAATTTCCGTATAATCTCTTTAGTAAATAAATATTTTTTAAGTAATAACTTTTAGTTTCTCTTCCACTCTTTTTCTAAAAACCTACCATTAAACTTCTCTTTTTTTTCTTCTCGGATGACCATTTCGTGTAAAATTCGAACTGGATAGTCACCTTTCCTTTTTTTTTTTTTTTTTTTTTTTTTTTTTTGCAAATAATCCTTAAATGTGTTTATAAATCTGAATTATTATTGCCTATATCTAGATATTTTGTTCTCAGATTTAATTCTGAGCTATTGTTATCACTATTATGGTGATTTTATCTAACTATTTTATTATTTGGATAGTTATGTAGAAAGAAATACATATCTCATTTTCAATAAAAGGAATAAATTTGAAAGTAATCAAATTGAACTTGTAGAAAGATCATGGAGTCGAACAGTGAAGATGAATAGCCACCAAGTGGAGTATACATCACCTGTGACACAAATATTATGCTCTGTCAACTCGATCAGATATTTCAAATCAAGATTGTGTTTTTTTTTCTTTATATAAATGTTTTTTTTCTTTATTTTTTATAATACAATTGACATAATTATTTAACAAAAATGAATAACAAACACCAATTATATCTATTATATATAATATAATAATTTGTCATTTTTTTATTAAAATATAGATCATAAATTTCATATAATAAATAAACTAATGTCCCATGCTAATCAATTAATTATATAAACACTAATATTCACCATAATAATTATTTTAAATTTATATTCATCACGAAAAATAGTTGAGTTTGTAGTAAAGGGTAACTTTGTCGATAAATATTTCAATGATTCAATTTTGTGAAATTTATTTATAAATTTCATCAATTTTAGTAGAATTTGAATTGAACAATACCCAATTCTACAGAATTTAAATCTGTATTATTTTTCATTCAAAGCATAAAAATTTATGAAATTCATTTATTCTAACTTTAAAAGCAAATTGAAACGACCCGAAAATTTAATTTCGTAGAATTTTCATTTAAAAAAACTAAATTTTTATTTCAACCAATGAAATTATACCAGCTAGTATTTTATTATTGCTAAGCTGGACCCGTAAACCAATTCGATTTTTCGAAAACCAAAAAAGCTAAATTTTTATTTTCAACCAATGAAAATATACTCAGCTAGTTATACCAGCTAGTATTTTATTATTGCTAAGCTGGACCCGTAAACCAATTCGATTTTTCGAAAACCAAGCGAAAAACTCGAAAACCAAGCAAGTCGAGCTGAATCATTGAAATTAGACCAAACCGGTTCGAATCGAACCGGAATGGTCTAGAAGCCCAAGATTTTTTTTTCTCTTTTTTTTTCTTTTTCTTTTTCTTTTTTTTCTTTCTTTTCTCTTTTTTCCCTTCTTCTTCCTTGCGCCAGCGCCATCGCGCGCGACCTCCTCGTCCTTCCCTCCCCATTCCAGCCACCGGAACCGATCAAGCTAGCCTCCTCGCCGTCACCTCCTCGCTGCAGCGGTTTCGGTCCCCTGTCTCTCTTCCGTTCCTACGTACCCAGCAACTGCAGAAAACCAGCGAGCTCGTGGACGGAAATCGCGTCGCGTCTCTAGCTCGATTCTCCGGCAGTCGACTCCAGCTTTCTCCTCCATCGACGACGAGCGCTGAACACGGGTGAGCTGGAGCCGTTTGTCCTGGATTTTTTTTTTTTTTTTTCTTTTTTTTTTTTTTTTTTTGGCGGCGGCGACGATAGTGGTATTACACCACTGCCAAGCTCGATCCGGCCACTTTGAGGATCGATCTCACCCAACTAATGTCGAAAATGGAGCCCTTGGTGAATTTTGAGCCGAATAGTATGATCGATGCAAGTTTCTGGGCAGCTTTCATTTTCCGGCCACCATGGACGGCGGCGACAGCGGCGGTCCGGCGACACTCCTGCGAGGCTCCGAGAGACAGAACTCTCTTCTCTCCGCGCTGATCATGGAATCGTCGCCCGATTCTCAATTGGTACGTTCTAAGACTAAATTATCAATTTTTTTCGCATATAAAGAACTAATTGATTAAAGAATTTAATTGAGTTATTAAGTAGATTGAATTGAATAATAAAAAATTAAATTATTGGAATAGCTTAAATATATATAGACATTTATAATCTTTTGTATATAAATTAGATTGATTAGTGTGCGTGATTGCGATAGCGAACATGATCAGTTAATTAGTTTAGGATTTTAGAATAATGTAATTGCAAATTAGTTAAACCATCGACAAATAATGTAATTGCAAATTAGTTAAACCATCGACAAATAAAATTTACATGAATTATAATTATAATTAGAAGACTTGACATGGAAATAAGAATTCACATATAGAATAGCTAGATTGTTGAATTCATTATGAAATTTTTGGTAAGGAAATGATGACTCGTTAGTACGATAGTAGGTATTTTTGGTCGTTGGCTGAAATCTTGGTATATTATAAAAGAACCTTGACTGTACCGTTTAAATTGAACTATAAATTGGAATGGCGAAAGAATTGAGAAACCTGAAATGGCAGCATGCCATTTTAACTAATTAGCTGAACAATTATTGCCGTATAATGCAAACCAAGTTATAAATTAAGTTCTTGGTGGGAAATGGGTTAAGTAGCATACGATGTATGAGTTTAATCAATAACTCAAGGTTTCTTTGATTAATCAATAACTCAAGGTTTCTTTGATATAATGGCAGCTTCTAGTTAGAGAAAATCATGGATTATTGCTTGATATGGAATATTTGAAGTAGTAATCTAATTCTCGTTAAGAATTAATCAGTCGGTATACTTTTTAGTCGTAAATTAGATTTCTTAGTAGAGGTATTCATTAAATGTTAGTTTAATTAAAGCATTTGTTCTTAGTAGCTAATTTAAATTTAATAAAAGTATAAATCTGTGGTTGTCATCTTTAAGCAAGAATGAAGAAATGAAAGCGATTAAAGAGGTACTATAATAGTTTAGACACTACGAAACTAATCAAATGAAAGTAATTTGAAATTAATCTTGATATAAGTTTTATTCGATTATATATGTATTAAAGCTTTCATTTGTTTGGTAATTAGCTATAGAAGCTAGTTATAATTATATGAAGTAAATAATGATCATCATTATCATTGGAACATTATTGTTGTAAATTAATGGTTGAGTGTTGATATTGTTGTTTTTGGAAGGAGGATGAGATTTTAAATTGAATGATTGCCCGACGGATGGGCTGTGTGCATTGATTGATAAGGATATAATAATATTGTGATATGTGAGCAGGTAGATAGTCCAATTTTTAGGGGAGGTGCTGTCGAAATTTTGATTGAAATTAGACTAAATTTTAATTAACAACAAAATTAATAAGTTTATTTAGATTAGTTCTATAATTTGGTACATAATAAATATAGTGCTCTGATTATTTATTATCTTTATTATTCATTTATTAATTTTACTTACATATTTCATTTAATTTTTCATTAATTATTGTTATTATTGTATTTATTTTATTTATTGATTGATTAAATGCTAATGCTATTTATTTACTTATTTGCATTGATTTGGATGTTTAATTGCTGCATTGCATTACGATGTTTAATTGATTGATTATGTCTGCATGATTATGCAATGTTGATAAATTGTGTTGTGATATTGCTACTGCTTTGTTTGTGTGGGAATTGGGATGCAAGTGGTACCCCCCCGGCGCGTCTGTGCGAGGACGCGTCTGTGATATGGATCCCGAATGTTTATATTGATATTTGACGTCTCGGCGGGAAAATGGAGCATCGGCGCCCCCGTGTGCACCTGATGATATGGTGGATTATGTTGGAAACCACAGGAATGGCTTCTTGTTGTTTGCGCACCTGATAATCTAGATTTGATTGTAGCCCGCAGGCGTGGCCTCCTGTTTGTGAGCACGTTGCATGATTCTTAGATTGGATGGGAGAACCCACCGGGTGCCTACCTGTTTGGTATGGAAAAGAAAGAGAAGAATGGAAATGATATAATTGAGAGACTTGGTCAGTGAGGATAGGCGACCAGTTAGGCCGTATGGGGAATCGGCTCCCTGCGTGCACATGTATGAGAGGGCGACGCCATGTGTTGAGGACGGGCTCGTTGGGGTTTCAGGATGGCTGCACTGACTAAATTTCCACGTGATGTGATTATATGAAGATGTTTATGATGCTGCAAGTGCTGGTGATATGCCATTTTGTGTGGACTGGCTTTTGCTCCGTGAGCATATAAACTTAGTCGAATGACTAGATTAATATGTACGCATTTTGTGTACCGTGGTGTTTTGCAATAATTATTACTCCTTAGAAAAACTCACATGTCTTGGTTTGATTTTTCAGGAAGTAGGTTTTTTCCTATTTAAACGCCGATTTTAGGCTATGTTTCTTCGGCGCAGTGGGCCAATAAAGAATTTTTCCTAGTTTCATAATTATTTTGCTATGCTATACTACAGTTAGTGACTCCGCATGTTGTTAAGGATTTGTTATACTTTTTAATCGTTCGTAATTATTACAGATGCAGATAATTATATGTGCATGCCCATTGTTCGCAGTTGTAAGATTTGTATACTTTTAATCGTTTATTATTACAGATGAGATAATTATGTGATGCATTGTTAATTAGGCCCGAACTGTGGAATGTTGTAGCAGATAAATTTGGGCCGAGATTTAATAAAATATTGAGGTTTATCTTTCTTAATCATATGGGCTGAATGTTGAAATTTCATATCGAGATAATAGTTTCTAGCGTTTCAGGCTTACTACGGGCCTCGGGAGCCTTAAGCTTACCTGGGCCCTAGTGCCGGTCCGGCCCACGGAAACGGGTCGTGACACAAATGCACTCGTGTATATAATTAGTTAATATTTGAAAATTGAATTATTTACTTTTTTTTTTAAATGGAATTATTTACTTACTTGCAGTATTATTTGAAAACTTTATAATTTAATAGTTTTAAAATTGAAATTCTGAAAAAAAGATTTATAATTTTATTAACGTACATAATAAATTTTTATCGACTTTTCTCTTTTTATTTAAAAAAACAAATCAAAATCGTACAAAATAACACGACCCGAATTTCATAACCGGGTCCGGCCAAAAATTAGCTCTCTTTCAGAATCTGATAGTAGAAAGCAGTTAAAGTCTCCAATGTCCACTCTCTAGCTCCATCAAAACTCTCACATTCTCCGATCAAATCAAATCCCCGTAAAAGATGTCGTCTCGCAAGCTTCTCTCCAGTCTCCTTCGCTCTTCTCTCCGTCGTTCCACCAGATCCTCACACTCCAACCACTCGAAATCCCCTCTTACTCGCCCTCTCCCTGCTCTTCTCTCACGCGCCACTTACTTCTCCACGTCCGCCGCCGCGCCATCATCTTCTCCTACGAAACCCACTTCATCTCCCACCACCGCTGTTGGTGGATCTAGTGGTAAGATATTCGATGAGTTCACCGGAAAAGGAGCGATCGGGCAAGTGTGCCAGGTCATCGGAGCCGTCGTAGATGTGCGATTCGATGAAGGATTGCCTCCAATATTGACGGCGTTAGAAGTGATGGATAACTCGATCAGATTGGTGTTGGAAGTGGCACAACATTTGGGTGAGAATATGGTGAGAACTATTGCTATGGATGGGACCGAAGGACTCGTGAGAGGACAGAGGGTTTTAAATACTGGCTCTCCTATCACTGTAAGTTATAAGCTTCTTCATATCCTTCTTTATATATGGCTCTCCTATCACTGCTAAGTTATAAGCTCTCTTCATATCCTTCTTTACTATAGTATATATATATATTATATATATATATATATACATATAACGTATAGTATATTATTTGGGAAATTTGGGTATTGCTGTTTTTTTGGTGTTTGCTGTATATATGTTGGATTTTGAAATTTTGTGAGGATATTTTGTTGAATTCTGGTATATATACATATACACGTATATATATTATTTGAATTTGGGTATTGCTGTTTTTGGTGTTTGCTTATAATGTGGATTGAAATTTGTAGGATATTTTGTTGAATTCTTATCATTCTGTTGTTCGATTATTCTCTTCAATGGGTTTTGGTTAAATCAAATAAAAATGCCAACTTTGAGATTATTTTGTAAATTTAAATTTGTAGTTATTGAAATATTATAAATTTGAAATATTATGCGATTCATCTAACTTGAAGCTTTGGGAATGCACTTTGTGAATGAGATAGCTTTCTTTTGGAGACATTGCTTGTTTGACTGTTCTTCAATGTTATGATTCAACTTCTTATTTATTGAATTTAGTTAATTTTGTAAAAATTGTCGATTTACTGCATATTTGACTGAATGGATCGTTATAATGCAATCGTTGTCCTCATTCACCATGATATGGCATTCTGATTTGCTTCCTGCTTTGAACATCTTGTGTGCTTAATGTTGCAGTATTAAAAGAAGTTGATTTATTTTATCTATAGGTGCCTGTTGGTAGGGCTACCCTTGGACGCATCATGAATGTTATTGGAGAGCCCATTGATGAGAAGGGTGAAATCAGTAAGAAGCTAGACCTCTTACATGTAACATTGGTTTTATAAATTTTATGTGCAGGGACTAATTCTTTAATTGTTCTGATTCTTTGTTATCAGAAACCGAGCACTTTTTACCCATTCATAGAGAAGCTCCAGCATTTGTTGAGCAGGCAACTGAACAACAGATTCTTGTTACTGGTATTAAGGTATATGAGCTGCTCTTTTACCTACAAAAGCATTAAAACGAGATCCCTTGGAAAGCAAAGAAGTCAATTTCATTTAAAGGTGATATAATGTTGTCCATGCGGTTTAATGGATTATTATGAAGAATGATTTATGCCATTTCTTGGTAAAGGGAATTGTTAGTTGGTCAATTTCTTTCCTCTTTTTTTTTTTTACATAAATAAGGAAAAAGACACTACTTATCTATAGAAAGTCATAAATCTTTACAACCATAAAAAAGTATGTTGTATCTATAGAAGTTCAATTCCTAATGTGTTTTGTTCATTGAGGATACAAGTTAGAAGTTTTATTGATTAATTGTGTTTGTTTTGCATATTTTTTTTCTAGGTTGTTGATCTCCTTGCACCTTACCAAAGAGGTGGTAAGATCGGGCTCTTTGGTGGTGCTGGTGTGGGAAAGACAGTGCTAATTATGGAACTTATCAACAATGTTGCTAAGGCTCATGGTTGGTTTCGTCCAAGTGCATTTAAACTGCTCCTATGTTGAAGTTGTTGGTTTGCAATTTAATGGATTTTTTTTTTTCCCATTTTCCCCCTTTTCAGGTGGTTTCTCTGTGTTTGCTGGTGTGGGTGAACGTACTCGAGAGGGTAATGACCTATACAGGGAAATGATTGAAAGTGGTGTCATTAAGCTCGGAGAGAAGCAGGTTAATTTGCTTCAATTTTCTTTTTGTAATCGATCATGGAGTACTTGTATTTTTTGATTTTGTTTTCTTATTCTGTTATCAAACATATATGTAATTTCCTAATTTCTTTGCAAAAAATGAAAGAAGGAAAAGATAAATCAAAAGAGTGTTATTTATTGTTTGCAACATTCCTTTGTATTTCAGAGTGACAGCAAGTGCGCTCTTGTCTATGGTCAAATGAATGAGCCTCCTGGTGCCCGTGCTCGTGTTGGACTCACTGGATTGACTGTGGCTGAACATTTCAGGGATGCCGAAGGACAAGATGTGCTTCTCTTCATTGATAACATTTTCCGCTTTACCCAAGTAGGCTTTTCATTTGTGTTTGTTTTATTAATTGTTGGATTATGGGGATCTAATCATTAAGCTAATTTGCTAAGTGGTTCATTTTGAATATTCCTTCTCATTTTGCAGGCTAACTCAGAGGTGTCTGCTTTGCTTGGCCGTATTCCTTCTGCTGTCGGCTACCAACCTACCTTGGCAACAGATCTTGGAGGCCTTCAAGAGCGTATTACTACAACAAAGAAGGGTTCCATTACATCTGTGCAGGCTATTTATGTGCCTGCTGATGACTTGACAGATCCTGCTCCTGCAACCACTTTTGCCCATCTTGATGCCACAACAGTGCTGTCACGTCAAGTATGCTTCCTCCTGGACTGGCCTTTTTTATGTATTTATTTATTTTACGTTTAATAAGAAATCGTTTTACTATTTTCTTTATTATAAAAATCTCTGCTTTCGCTTCTTGAGCAGATTTCCGAGCTTGGTATTTATCCTGCTGTTGATCCCTTGGATTCTACTTCTCGCATGCTGTCTCCTCATATCTTGGGAGAAGAACACTACAATACTGCTCGTGGCGTCCAGAAAGTCCTCCAAAACTATAAGAATCTGCAAGACATCATTGCTATTCTAGGGATGGATGAACTTAGTGAAGATGACAAATTGACTGTTGCCCGTGCTCGCAAAATTCAAAGATTCTTGAGCCAGCCTTTCCATGTTGCAGAAGTGTTTACTGGTGCCCCCGGAAAATATGTTGAATTGAAAGAAAGCATCACTAGTTTCCAGGTGATTATATTTTTTCCTTTGCCGTGCGTCTTTTCTGAATCCTTCAGAAAGCATCACTTCTCATTTTCTCTTGAAACCTTTCTGAACTTGTTTCATTACGTGATTTTTGTTTGAATTTACCAACTTTCAATAGATAATTTGAAGGACTGGCGAGTTCTTGCATTGAACTTGCTAATGCTTAACAACATTTAGTTCTAGGACTGTTACATTTGTCGTCTTGAGCTGGAGGGTAATATATTTCACTTCAGAGCTATCCAGCCCCTACTTAACATTTGGCCCTCATTTAGCCATCAACAATTCAACTAGTTTTCAACCTTACTAGAATTTCATGCATATTGAATAATTGATTGGTATATTTACTTATGATATTGTTTACGTTTTCCTTTTTCTCCAATTTATTTAGCCTAAACATTTTATGATGTTCCCAATTTGAAGGGAGTCTTGGATGGGAAATATGATGATCTTCCTGAGCAGTCATTTTACATGGTTGGCGGCATCGAAGAAGTTATTGCCAAGGCAGATAAGATTGCGAAGGAAAATGCTGCATAATTACCTTTGTTCTGCTAGCGCTTCGGAGAAGCAATAATGTAGGTAGGTTCCTTAATTATTTGGAGATGGAAGAGTATGATTTTTTTTATTTGAAGCTTTAAGCTTTTTGTAGATTAAAAACTTAGGCAGAGAAATGAGTGATAATGCATACTCTTTTCAAGTCCTGCCCCATTTTCTGTAATAAAAAATGGAACTTGAATGTATCAATTTTCGTCATAATCATTTCATTTCTATATGCAGATTGTTGGATTTAAAACTTGTTAAAAGTTTGAACTACGCCAAAGAAACAATGCCATGAAACACCTTGAGGTGGTTGTTTTAGATTCATTCAGTGGTTATGCTATTTTAATATAATACTCTTTCTGTTTCAAAATATAAATTATTTTTGAATTATTATTTTGTTTCAAAATATAAGTAGTTTTAAATATTTTAAAGAGCAATAAATGATGTTTTTTTAATGTTACATTTATTTACATTAAATACAATAAATACTTTCATAAATAATTATGATTTTGAGATAAAAGATAATTTGATCAAATTAACCTTGGTTTTGTTATAATTTAGAAAATTAATTATTTTTTTAATTCTTATGTAAAAATTTTAAATGACTTATATTTTAGAACGGAGGTAGTACATTCTATCTATTCCAAAAAATATAATACCAAGAAAGAGTATCGATTTCATAACACAAGAAAGAAGAGTATCGATTTCATTTTTAACCAAGTAATTTGAAAGCAACGGTTAAAATACTGTACACAATTTCAATAACAGTAACCACAAAAATCAATGTCTACTTGGTAGTTCTTATCTTTATTACTATCTCTTCTTACGTTTGAAATTTCATATTCTTTACGAAAATAATAAATTTATCTAAATTATAATAAATTATTGAGTAAATTGATTATATTAACTTTATTTAATATTAATTTTCTAAGAAAACTATTAAATTAAAATAATAATTATTGGTCATATATAAATGGAAAACATAAGAAAAAAAAATATTTATTATTTTTTGAAACCATAAATGTGACAAGTATTTTGGAACAAACCATTTTCTCAAACGTGACAAATATTATGAAAACGGAGATAGTATTAAAAAACCATTTCCTTGATAATTCTTAATTAAATAATTGATAGTCAGCAAGCTTTATAGAGATATATCATTCAAAGTTATATTCCCTCTATCCCAAAATACAATATAAGTCGTTTAAGATTTTTTCAGAAGGATTAAGGAAGTACTTAATTTTTCTAAATTATAACAAAATCAAGAGTAAGTTGATCAAATTATCTTTTATTTTAAACCAAGAGTTACATGTAGTTATTATATTTACCATAAATAAGGGTAACATTGGAAAAACATCATTTATTACTCCTTAAAATACTCAAAACCACTTATATTTTGGAACAAAATAATCACTTAAAAACGATTTATATTTTGATACTCAAAACGACAATGACTTATATTTCGGACAAAATAATCACTCAAAAATAATTTATATTTTGGGACGGAGGAAGTATTATTTATTATTATATGTTAGATTATAAAAGAAAAAGAAAGAAAAACCGTAGATAATATATAATAAAAAATTAATTTAAAAAATATTTAGCAAAGAAAAAAAAAAAGGTAATTATAGAATGCAGAAAAAACAAAGCACATATTTTAAAATATTTTTTACGGTCTGTCATGAAATTTGTTGCATATTTCTGGAAGTATGAAATTTCTTGTTCACAAACTTATGTTTACTTTTTGCTCTCCATTTTCCTTGGAAAAGTAAAAATTAGCATTGGTCAAGTCGGCTGTTGACGTCTGGATACAGAGACTGGGCTGGGAAGTGGGAACTCTTCATCATCAGTTTAATCAGTTAAACTTGAAGCTATAGTATTTTTTATTGCCTTGAAATTTCTTATGCAACATAAAAAATAAAAAATAGTATTTTTTATTGCCTTTAAATTTCTTTTACAAAATTAAAATCTTATTTTTTAGCCTTTGTTTATTTTTAAAAAATAACTTTCTGAAAAATAAAAGATTGCAGTTCAAATTTTCACTTATTTGTTTGCAGAAATTACCGAAACCTAGAAGATTGCAGAAACCCTTACTTGCTTTAGACTGACTTGGCCGAAGGAGACTAACTGGTGGCCGTCATAGTAATGAGTCTCTACTCTACAATCTAGCAGTAATGAAATATCTAGGAATGAGTTGCTTCCACTTCATTTTTATTTTCAGCATGACAATGGTGATGATGATCATTTCTGTTAGAAGAAGATGATAAAGATTTTGTTTGAAAACTTTAAAAGTTCTTGTAACAAATGCAGCCTACTTAGACTAATGAATCTTGTGAATACAAAAGCACAACTGCTGTTCTTGTTGGTTCAACTTTTGTTTAATGTTCTAAACATTCACCAGTTCTTTTTTCCTTTTTCTCCACTAATTTTTTAATATTGAAAAATTAAATCGTTTTCGAACTTTATTGTAATTGTTTTCCACCGTATTTAGCCTAACTTACATGTTTTTTAGTCTTATTTTTAATTCTTAATTATTTTTTTTTTTTGGAAGTTTCTACAAAGAGAGTTTTTAACCTTTCCATTTTTTAATTTCTAATACAAGCTCACAGTTTCTTGCTAAGAATGATATTAATATTATTCATAAATACATTTATCGTATTGCTGTTGAAATTGTCAACATCGGTTATATTTAGTGAGCAGTAATGTAATGGAGTGTAATCACGATTATGCAATATAATCGTTATTATGTTGTATGATTATGGCTTACCAAATACGATATCAAGTATATATAAACTAACTTGATCATGAAGAGAGAAACTTCTTCAAGGAGGAAAATGATCCAATGACTTCCAAAAATTTCAACGAGGAGCCTTATAAAAATAAAAAGAAAAGAAAAGAAATACTTAAAATTAAAATAATTTACTTTAAAATAAAAATCATATAAAAATATTAATCACACATTTTTGTCGTTCTAAACTTATTATTCTCAAAACAAAATTCTAAATAAATATATACATATATATATCAAATGACTACAACATTATTCATTGAGAATTTTTCATGTATTTATTATGTCAAATGATTGAGGAAAATTAACTGTGAATGATAATATCACACATTTTGCACCATGATAAATTAATTGTATATTTATGCAATATACATTTAATTAAGTTAATTATAAAATGGTAATATTTCGATGTCTTAATCATAAATTGGAAAAAAAATTTTTGGGATATTGGAGAAAATTTAATGACTCATACGTGCAATAATATTCAGATGCCATAAGAGATTTCATGGGTTGATAATAAAGACTTTCTCTTTTTTTCAAATGATATGACTTCTCCATCAATTCTTCTCCATCAGTTCTAATGGTAGAGCAAGTTCCACAATCTCCTGAATTTGCATTACCTCCTATTTCAGTTTTATTAATGAAACAAGAAATTTAGAGCGTTGGTGAAACCGCATTTCATATGAAGATTAGCTGAGTCAATGAAGAACCACCCCAGGTTGAGTTTGTTAAGGTGTTATAAGCGGTTACACAATTTACAGAAGTTGTTAATTGAATTGGTTGTTAGATTCATCTAGAATTCACTGTAATCTGATATAAAAGCATTCTTCCATTGTAATTGTATTCATTCTTGTATTTTCTACAAGCTTAATGAGAATTTTCTGGTAGTTTCTTTTTTCTTTTTGGATTCATTCTCTTTCTTGAACTGAAACCCACTGCCGGTCTGTATAAGAGCCAGTGATCCCCAGCAACGCTGATGGTGCTCATACTTGTGCTCAGGAGGCTGTTAGGAAGGAAGTGGCAGCAATGATCTTGCAGGCAGAACAGAGACAGGAAATTCGGTTACAAATGAACTGGTTAGACTTGCTCTTGAAGCAGAGGTTGATAATGTTCTTGCTTCTTCTAGATTTAAAATGTATTTTCTTCTTAGTGATATTAGTATTATTGGTGTTATTTGTTAAAATCATTTACAAGGATACGAATTTTACTTCATTTGCCTTCTACATTAAGGCAACACTGTCTAATAGTTTTAATTAAATATATTTCACTGCAGTTTGGAAAAGGATAGGAGTCCAGGATTTAACCTTTTTTTTTCTCGTTTCAAAAAAAGAAAATTATAATTTATGGGGTAAATAAAATTTTTTCTTTTATTTATTGTTGGGTAATTTTTTATTTTATATTGAAATTTTTGCATCATTAACCTCTGGATAAAGCTACAGTGATCACTTTTCTAACAGTTAATTAACTTTTTTAGCTTCAATTTAAGAAGAGGATGTTATTATAAGGGTATAAACTCCTAACTTTATTAGTTGTATCATGGCATTATTTGCAGTCCATGAAATTATTAATACACAGAATATAGAACATTGTAAATTTTTAAAAAATTAATTTTCTATAGAATTCCAAACCTTACATGTATAGTTGGAAAATTTTATAGGAAGGAAAATAAAAAAATAATAATAAAAAAGCCTAGGTATCCTTATTTCCTATTATTTTGAAATATAGAGAAAATTTGTAGAGAATAAAATTTGAAGTAAAATCCCCCAGTCAAGTGGATAAGTTGTTTGCATTTCTGCCCCCCCTTTTCTATCATTTTGTTGATTTATGTGTAGCGAAGGAAATATGCCGATCTAAAAAGAGTTCAATACATAAATTCATCCCGTACTTTTACAAAAATATCTTATAGCACTTTTAACTTTTAATTTAACCTATTTAACACTTTAATTAATTTATTGAACACTTCAAGTTATAAAATTGAATTTGATTAAACACTTATTGAATAGTTGAAAAATGTAAAAATTATTATTTCAAAAGTCGTATTTACCACATCAAATCAATATTTTGCATAAAAAGCCAAAAACTTTAAAAATTTTTTATTTTTAACTTGACTGAGATGTGAGATTATTTCAAAAAAAGAAATTGAGAATGCCACAAGGTTGATTTCAGGGTTAGATGCAGCTAAAAGTAACATTCTCAGACAGTTATGAAAATCAAAATATATGAGGTCCCATGAAATTAAGATTGTTTTCACAATGGCAGTACTTGTACAAATGTATAACACCAAGAATGTATGCGATCACATATTAAGATACATGGTGAAACTCCCAAATGAAGGTGTAATTATAGTATTATACATCAAATACAACACTATATATCGCCCGGCTTTACTTCTTTCAGGTAAAGGATAGGGAAAAACAGTTCAAGAATGAGAGAATGCAGCTCAACTGCAAAAAATGGTACAACCTCAACTTACAAGCCTTTGATTGCCTTAATACAAACGTCCTCGACACTCGTCTGCACCGCAGAAGCACGGTGCCTGTTTTATTTCCCCATCAGGACCAATAACACTATCTAGTACATAACCATAGTCATAAGTAAGTTCCTGTTTGCAGCAATGAGTAAAACTTTTAGTTAGGCTCTGTTTGGGATTGAGTTTGGAATTTCATTTCAAAATCTATACCGTGAGTTAAAGATAAAGATCATTGGAAGATTACCTGCATAGGAGGTATGTCATCAGCAGCAAATAGCACAACCCGAGCAAGTCTAATATCATGATGGGAGCTTAAAACACACTGGACAAATAGATTCGGTCGGCAGCTGTGATTAATAAATCTGGCAACATTACCACAGGAACCTGCATCTATGCAAAACTCAGACTCGCTCTCTGCCAGGTTATCGTCTTCTTTATCTGCAAGATCACTTGTAGGTAAAGTCACATCACCTTGTCGCCTCTGCAAGAACAAGTGCTTTAGTAGAATGCTTTTGCGTTTTGCATAACATGACATAAGAATGTGAGAAAATGATAATTGCTCTAGAAACATGAAATAACAGAAACTATAAATGCACCTATCCTGAGGAGAGATCAGTTTAGAGTAAGAATGGCAACTAGTTGAAGATGTGAAATGGACTGACTGAAATTGAAATCAAATTTTATTAATGTTTCGATATTAACTAAATTGTAAAACGATCCTTGAACAAGTTGCAAATCTTCCTTTTCCTAATTAAAAAAAAAAGTAGTAATAGTTAAAACACAAATTATTGTCAATAACTTATATATATACACAACTCATTGCATTAAACTAATGAAATGGGACAAAAATGTAAAGTTCATATATTACCATTTTAGAAGCTTGAAACAAGCATATAAAAATTGTCAATTTGTCAGATGATTATATTAGTACCTCTCTTCCCCCTATTCCTTTCATTGTGTGCCAGCAGTCAATGTCAAATATGTAGTCATTCTCTGAGACATTATCTAACTCATCATTCCTTCTAAGAAGTCCAGTGTATTCACATACTGGAGCACCAGAAGGAATAGCATCCCAAGACCTGACAGCCCAACCTTTGTTCTCTGTGCGATAGACCTGTTCAAAGAAAAAGTTTATCATTAAACAAAAGGGCAATTTAATAAGGAAAATAAATTTCTCCTTGATTGCATGGCTAATTACCTCAAGTCGGTATTTTAATTTCCTCTGAGAAACTCGGTTAATGCATTCAGGTCCACATCCACATCCTGGTCCACATTCGTAGACCACATCCTTTGGTTCAATTAGTCTGAAGAAGGAAAAGGTTTCAGAATAAGTTCGGACAGAGGAGAAATAAGTAGTGAACAAGAATATAGAGCAATTATTATGGCAATTAATTTAACACTCCTAAAACAACAATGAAAAGAATTTCCCCTGGAAAAGGAGTCTCTGAAAATTTACATGTGCTGCAATAATATGAGATGCACTTTCTGCCAAGGATACCAAGTCTAACTTAAATCATAAGTTAACACTTAAATGGAGAAAAGGGAAAAAAATTTATTGAACCACCAGTAGTATAAAAATGAATCTTCAGTGATATACCAATTAAACTCCATAATGGACTAATGATTTCGGTGTATGAAACTCTAAAGTTGCACAAAAACAAGACTCAAATTACACCATAATTAATTTATATACCCACCTGCCACCATTTTTCTGCACATAAGGAAAGTCAGCGCCATTAAGTTGAGCACAAGAGCAAGATTCCGAATTTGTACAATTTCCTTTACAACTGCATCCAGAGGCACTGGGAGGAACTGTAATATTTCTTGCAACTTCAACGGATTTGGTATATTTAAACTCTACAAATTTTGAGATTTTATCATTAAGCTAGCCAACAGACTTAATATCAATCACATATATCAACAAAGACAAGAAGCAAGAAAACCAAAGGAGAGATATGGAAAGAAGGCATCATTTGAATTTAACTACGAAAAAAAGATAAATCCCGCCTTATTTATATTTATATGACCAATAGCATAAGACCATACAGAAAATAAGCAAAATATTAGCTAAAGACTAGAGTATACAACCAAGATTGTTTCTCTCTCCCCACCTCAAAATCCCTCCCAAAAAAAATAAATTTAAGAGAAAATGAAAATCTTCATGTGCTATGGTATGCAATAGAAACTAGTAAAAAAATTTCCAATTTCTATGATGTAAACAACCCAAGATATTCTTTAAAATAGCATGTCCTTTCTAAGCCCCTCATTTATAAGAACAATAGCATAAGACCATACGAACAAGATTACTTCTCGCTCCCCCGGCCCCCCCTCCCCCCAAAAAAAAAAAATATGAAAAAGAAAATGAAACCTTCATGTGCTATGATGTGCAATAGAAACTAGTTAAAGAATTCAAATTTCTATGATGGAAACAACCCAAGATATTCTTTAAAATAGCATGTCCTTTCTAAGATAGACTATTTAAAATGGAAGGAGAGAAAACTTGTCTTCCTCTGGTGAATCTGATTCCTTCTAATCACCATAAGTTGATAAGAAAACTTGCCTGCAGGTGCAATTGGAGGAACGTCTATCACATTGGTTACAGGAATACATCTATCTTCTTCACCGTAAGAAATGTCTTCACATAGCAAGCTTAGAAAATAATACTTTTGTCAGTTTACAAGACAGATAGAATGCAGAAGGAAAATAGCATGTTATTTATTAACATGACAGTTCTACAGATTCCATACCCAGCTAATCTTGGAGAAGCATTAGACACTCCTGCTCGTCCAAAATGAACCTAAAATAAAACAACTAATTGGTTGAACTCAAACAAATTGCATACAAGTGGCAAATAGAAAAATAACAGTAGTATAATATACGCCAGAAATCTGTATACAAAACACAAGGGCATTAACTAATTACTGGTACATTTTTTTACAGCTAAGTTAAACATACATTATGTCATTACTCCCTAATTATGCACTGAATTAAACAGGAAATTATTGGAAGTGGAAACATATACCATCAGAGAAAGAAAACATAAAGGATTGCATCAAAATGAAATATAAAAAAAAAATACCTTTTGCAATTTGTTCTTGTTGATCAGTAAAAGGTATTAAAAAGCATTATGATGACTTACTAAAAAGAAGATAGATACCTAATTTAGAGGGAAGAAAGTGCATGCAATTTCATAAACTAATAAACCCCAAAAGAAGAAAAGAAATTATAACCTGATCTATGTCCATTTTGGGCTGTCCTAGAAGTCGCTTTAAACGGAACTTATAAACAAAACATCCAGAAGCACCTTTCTCAGTCCAGCAATTCACTACCTGCAAACAAGATGAAAAATTAATGGAACCCACGTTAGACTGTCTTATTAGTATTTAAGAAAATTGTACCCATTAGATACAGCATATCAGCAATTGAATCATCAAACATTATATGACAATGATCCAACATCATATCTATGTGTAATGCATTAGAATACAAAAAATAAATATGTTGCTTCAAATAATCATTCAATGCTTACCCATGTTCAACCGTCACTGAAAATGAAATATCTAACTCAAACAGTATCCTAATTACAAAGGAGAACAGAGACACAGAAAGTATTGATGCAGGTGAAGAGATAATCGCTTTAAGACTTGCACATTTGTCTACGTGCGCTTGTGTGTGTCTGTATATAAAATAAGGATTTGGGGACATTTAAGTTCCAGAATCCAGTTCATATGCATTGACCATCTGTCGTCTCACTGATAACAAGAGTATCTTCAACATATGCAGAGAGAGCACAACTTAACAAACAAGAACGTATCAACTTTGTCACAAAAAAGAGAAGCTAAAAGAAATATATTTGTAAACCTTGTACAAGCCACAGTATGTGTAAACTTTGCGGCTGCGACAACCAGGTTTTGAACTATGTCCACGGATGAATCTAACAGGTACAAATTGCTCCATGTTATTCTGCAGGAGAATGAAAATAAAACTTCACTGGATAGCAAGTCTCAAATTATTATAAAGCAATTTCGCACACAGCTCGTTCTGTTATGCAAAATGGAAGTGTGTTGACTAAAAGTTAGAATGAGATAAATGGCCTCATACAACATTACTAATTATGAAACTTTAACGATTGGATTGCAATCATCATAATAAACAAATCAAATAGAGCAAATTATATCAATTTTAATTTATTAGAAAAAATGGTAAAAAAGACACTATAATCATAAAAACCAAATGCAAAAGAGCCTACTTCACATGCAATGAAGATTGTTTGTCATTAGGGAGCGGCTGCTATTTCACATTCATCAACCTTAAATTTCTACTTTGCATTCACGAAATATCATATAGTACACATGGGCTGAAATGATAATAGGACAACACATCATTAGAAAAGGATACAATCACAAATCCATATCACCTTGAGAGCCAAATTTCCACGGAGCAAAACTTGATCTTTAGTTTGATTCCCATTTCCACCTTGTCCTGTATACACAACTTCGTTTGAGTAATCAACATCATCTTCATATTCTCCAGACATAATAATTGATACTGCTAGTGGGCAGGTGTAACCATCACGCTTCTTCTGCAACATTCCAAGAGGCAATTAAACATTCAAAAAAAGCTCAAAAGCTTATTTAATATAGTGCTAAATGATAGATAAAATGGCCAACTACCATCCTCCCATACAGGTTCAGACTGCCTAAGCATAGCAGCATCAATTGCTTATTTAGTTTCCATAACAGTTTTGGCTTGTTTTGTAAGGCAAAAAAAAAAAAAAATCCATTTAAACTTAGATTCATCAACATTTTGTAAATCGTAAATTGTAAAATGCATTCCAAGAAGACTAGTATCACCTCCATTATGTGCAAATATAGTCAAGCTTAGCCAAATATGTACAAAAGTTAATGTGATATAAAGAGTTCAGGGCTATTTCACAACTGTGAATTAATTGTCTGCAATAAGTTCAAAGCACAACTTTAAGGTAATTACATGCCAACATGCTTTCTTCTTCATCAACACACACAAACTTAAATTTTTTCTTCTTATACATCAAGGACTGTACAGGTGAACCGATATCTATTCATACAAACAGATTAATCTTTCATTAAAAAAAACAAAAAAAAAAAAAAGATTCGTTACCTGTCCTCCAGAAAATTTTGATATGTAATCAATTCCATTCAACCAATGTCCATGAAAACCGAGAGCAACCATTTCAGATCGAGAGTTAAATTTGTGTCCAACAGCAATACCTGCATATTAAGGAATACTTTCATATTTGCAGGTAAAAGAATTTAATGCAAAAAATTGTACTTGCATAACTAGAAAGATAACCTCATAAATTCTTGAAAGCAAACCTCAAAATATTAAAATGCAATGAAACAAAAATATAAACACTAACTATCACAATTATCATACACCAACCCGGTAAATGGCCAATGATCTTTTCAGGGTATAAGACTTCTTTTTTGTTTTGCATCTGCCATAATCAGCCAGAAAATAATTAGATGAAAGAAAGAACAATTCACTAAGATTTTAGCACAAATGGGAGACAAAAAAAATCACTCTCAGGACTTATACTGCACAATATAAGTAAATGAGAATTTCAAAATGATATAATGTCAATCAAAAAGTTAGTGCAGCTGAGAATTACCATTAGTGGGATCACATATCAATTTTTTTCTAATGAACAAAATTTTTCATTTATCATAATCAAGTACCAAAATGTCAATTAGTTCAGTGTGTTCACTTATATAGTTGTTAGAATAATATTGATTTATTATCCAAACCAGATCATTCAGTGCAATTTAAGTATTGAATGGTTTGAGTCAGATATATGAATTGACTTAAAGAGAAAAATGCAAATGAATAATGAGATCACAATTCAAAGAGCATGATTCAATTATATTTTCACTCTTCTAAAACTAAACTACTCCATTTTCACATTATTTTCTTCTTTTTTTTTTCTTATTTAATCACTCTTGATCTCTTCCTTCTGTACTTATTATTTTGTTTTCTCCATCTCATTTTTTATTTTAAAAAATTGTCTCTGTATCCTACTTGTCACTCTTTCCCCAAACCAAAAAAATCAATGCTAAACTAATGATCAGTGAATATTGAACTGAAATTAATAGTAATCTAGGACTAATTTATTTTGAATTTCCTAGATATATTTGAAGATGATACAAATCATAGAAGCATTACCATTTTAAAGATAAAAAGGGAAATAGAAATCTCATAAATCATAGAAACTAAATCATAACTTTATATTTAAAGAACTGTGAATAAAGGTCCTTTTAAGATAATAAAGAGCAAGTCTTTTCCTACAGGAAATATGATGCAAGTTATGGAATATGAAAGTCAAAAATATTTATGTTAGATTAACACAACAGATACATTTCAGTGCTTCTTAATTTATGAGTAATATATTCAATTATGAGATGGGGCCTATATCACTTGCTTTCATGGCAGGCACATTCCAATCCACCGCAGAATCAAATGTATTTGTTAAAGTAACATGAGGCATGATATCATTGATATTCTACCAAATCTTTAAATTTGTTTTCACACTAGAACTTGTAAATTTTATATTTGCAATTCAATCTCAGTTTGATATCTTTGTTCACCAGTATTGTGATGAAAGAAATATAAGAGCAGACAATATGAACCATGAGTTCTGAATATCCAGCACGATCATATACAGTGGGATTGCTATCAACTTGCCTTGGTAGTTGCCTTAAGATCAGGTCTCCTAATAGATCGCGTAGCATTAGTAATTGAATTTCCATGCTGCAGAAAACTTTCATTAGCGTTAACTTCAACAACAATCACAAGAATCAGTACTATAAAGCATGTGGCACAAGTTGGTCACTAAACATTGTTGCTCCATGATTGTTCTAAGGAAAAAAATGGCCCAGAAGATCATGTATCTTTAAATCCTTGTTTAATTCCATAACTAACTCAAGTGTCATAAACATATTGACCAAAACCACTAGATTAGACAAAACCGTACTTCAAGAATTGAATATAAAAAAGAAGATGAAAAAAAATAAAAGAAGAAGAAAAAAGGGATTGAAACTGGCCAAGTGATAGAAGGGGATTTCGGGGTGGGGTTCATAAGAGGAAAGGAAAAGCTCAAGAACCTCACTTTATTTGTATCGCCCTTTTGCTTCTTACATCTCTTATCCTCTTCCTGCACATTTATTGAGTATGGAATATAAAATCAGCAGGACAGCTTATCAATTTAAATAAGCAAATTTAGATTTTTATTATTCTTAACATATACTTTCCCTAACAGGATTTAGATCTTCACATGATTAAATATTTTTCTTAGATAATGACAACTAAAACCAGTCATAGCACAGAGACGATGCCTTCAACAACTCATGAAAGGACAAACATTTTATGCAACACCATTACGTTGGAAAGAATATAAAATGTTGACATTATAATGACTGCATCTTTGTCCCATGAAAGGTAAACACAAGTGCAGATTATTCATAAAATGGAAGAACTTCAGTCAGTAATATGTATTAACAACTAAGGGTAGATAAAATATAAAGCACCTTGTTGATCTAATTCACAACAGTTTTAATGGAAATAACTACAATGATGCTAATATCCTTTTTATTATATACTGTTTCCTTCTTCGTCAATGTAAGCAACTGTCACTTGTTACACTACTTGTTAAACCAAGTTTTCTTGCCTTATTATTCGCAACCTGAAATAAATATCCACACATGTGCCTAAGATATACTAAATTGGAAACAAAGCCCATAATCTAATAGATCCAATGTCATTTCTAAAGCAGAAAGAACCACATTAAAGCGCAACTCACCACCCTCAAATAAACAATGTCAGGATGAAGGAATGGAGGAAAGCAAAATCCATAAAATAATATCAAGCATCTTTTTAAAACCTCAGGTCTACTTACTAAAAATGAATGAATAAGCATGTGGACTTTGACCATGTAATTACAAAATACTTCAAAATCTAATAAGAAAAACTTGTGTTCATTTTCGTTCTTATTAATTTGTTAATTCACATAAAAAAAAAAACATCACAATCGAGTACGTCAAACTGTTGAGCGAAAAGAAGCGAATAAATAAGCCAGAATAGAGCAACAATAAAGCACCTCTCCTATCACTTGTCAAGATTAGTAAAACAAACAGTTTCAGAGAAACATATGATCTTCATATTTATTCCTATTCATAATATCTTAGTGAATGTGATCACCTGAGCAAAATGAAGGCAATATTTGTTAAAAATCTGCATTGTCTGTTCCACCCTTTCATTGGCCATTTGAAGGATACTTTCAGCTAGAAAACCCTCATAGTCTGTCCATTTCAGATAAGCATCTTCCTCTAACTCCACAATCTCTGCATCACCATCCTGTAAGTCCAAAATTTCTGTACCAGCATGTCCAATAGGAACAGACTCACATCTACTGCTTCTATCTTCTACATCTTTTTTATCCAAATCAGGTTGGCACTCCCTGATTGAGTGATTAAGCTTACTTAGTTTTTTGCCATTGCCAGAATTATCTCTAAGGGAATTCAATTCCCTCTTCCTATGATTATTATCATCCTCTGGAGTAACTGAATGTTTTCTCCAATCACTACCATAATATGGTTTTTTATCTTGGGGTATACTTTTAAGTCTTGGGCTAACCCTTCGTTCCAGAACAAGTTCTTTTGACTTTAATTTATCAACTTGTTGTGCAATGTTATTGTTCAAGTTAACATCAACTATTTCACTTTGAGTTTCTTGCTCGCTAGACTTCTCATTGGAACCATTGCCACCTTGGTGAGTACTATCCATCAATTGATTCCGATATCAAAATTCTGCATTGAAAACAAGAAAATAAACCCAAAAGAAAAACTTTTTTTTAAAAAAATCCTTTATAGCGGAAGCACAATCGTCTTTGTATAAGAGGTTAAGGATTCAAAACCTAGCAAGAAAAGAGAATTTCGAAAAAGAAAAAAAAAAAGATCCTAGAAAATAAAATCGCATTGAACCCAATTCCAAAAATTGCTACTTCAATACAATTAAATAAAGCAAAAACACTAATATCCATGACTTCTGAGTGTTATAAGAAGTTAATCAAAATTGAAATTGGATTTGTAAGACAAACACAGAAATTTGAAAAGAAATACCTAGAAAAACCCATTTGCTAGAATTTAGAAACGAGTTTCAGTTTATTAGTTGGTGACCAATGCAGATTGTTGTATTTTGTCAAAATGCTCTGAAATGGATTCCAAATAAAAAGGTACAAAACTAAAGTACATAAACATACCAGAAAAACGAGAGAGAAAGAGAAAGGAGAATATCAGACGAGAGCAATTCCCGAGAGTATTTGAATATAAGTCCTCAGAACTGTTCTAGGTTTTTTTTTTCCCCCTTAAATATATTAATATACGAATCAGAATCTCTACTTTAAGAAATTAATTAAATACCTTCTACTTTATTACTTACTCCCCTTTCAAAATAATTGTTATTTTTTTACACGCAAGGCATAATTTGGTGGTGAATGTATATATGATCTGATAATAGAAATTCAGGTTCGAATTGCCCTCTTCTAATACTTAAAAAAATAATAATTTTTTTGACTTCTTTTCTCAAAATAAGTCGTTTTTAGATTTATTTTTTTTAGAATTGTCATTTTTAGAATTTCAAAAACTCCATTAATTTTTTTTTCTTAATTTACCCTTATTTTACTCATAAATAATTGTCCCTCAATTGCTCTCTCTATCATAAAATTCTCTTAAATAGGGTGATCGCATTTTTTTCAAAAACTTTTAATTGATCAGAATATCCCTTCAATCGGCTAGAATTCCTTCCTTGAACGAAACTAGATTTTGTGAAATCATATTGAATATTTGACAATATATTCCGTGCCTTGCTAAAAAACCAATCCTTGTTTATCAATCCCACTCTGGAGCTGCAGAGCTTGCAAAGAGGTTCAAGAAAACTGGGAAATGAGTGCTACTGCTGCTGGAACTTCCATAGCGGGATCTATATCTTTGTCTTTGCTACATACAATAAGTCGTATGCGCTTGTAGGTGAGAAATTGGCTTGACCCGGCCAAACAGAAAGCTTCATATCACTATCGGTCTTGGCCTCATACTTGCTCTTAGTTTCCCAACCAAGCTAACCAACGAAGGATCCTCCTATATAATTATATAAGATAGGCTAGTCATGTATGCTATTATTTCAATGCTAACATGTCAAATAGACAATTTATTATTGGTGACTATAGAAAGCTTTCATTGTGTGACCACATCTCTATATGGGCAGAGGGCGGGCATAGAACAAACCTTCAAGCAGGCATTACATCGATCCAATCTCTACTTATCTTGGTCTCCAAATCACATAGATAGGGACAAAGTTATAGCAAACAGAGATGAGGAGAAGGTGTGAGTGTAACCATTGACTGAGCTAGACCATGAACATCAATTAGAGCTCTTTTTTCCCTTTAGGAAAAGGAATGAAAAGCATTCTTTTCCTAAATAAAAAGTGGGGAAGTTTCTCAACCAAGCCCTTTCTCGTTCCAGATATTCAACTCTCTTCGACTCCTCTCTAGCTTTCTAGAAGTACACTATGCTATTATGCTTTGCTCGAGTGTTGAGCTAACTATAGAAATTGAAAGAAATATCAATGAAATAGAGGGAAATAGTGGAATGGAGAATTAAAAAAAAAATTAGTTAACTAAGTTTGTTTAATTTAATTATAGAGTAAAATAGACATTTTATAAATTAATTTTTATAAAGTTTAGACTATTAATTGCATTCCTAATTCATGTGCCAAGCTAAAAAATAATACGATTTATTTCTTAGTTTTCTAATTCATTATAGTCGAGATGTGTCGAACTTGAAATGTCTCATTCTCTACATAATAGAAAAACCAACCAGATCATACTTGATTGATAAAATTACTTTTCAAATTTAAGTTTTGCATAAAGTCATTAAAATTTAAAAAATATGTCTAATATCCTTCAAAGAAAGACATCCAAAGGCCACAAATTAACACTATATTATTGGGATGTACAAGACATGTTGCTTAAAAGGAGTAATATGAAGCTTAGACTTACGAGTGTATTCAATACCTCAACAAAAGAGGAATTGATTTATTGTCGATGCAGAAACAAATAAATAGGAATTCCTATGTATCTGGTACATCCATTGCAACATTAAATAAATAAATATATTTATATAATACTATAATATATATATAATATATATTATATATATATCTTTGTGTGTGTGTGTGCGCGCGCGCGTTGTCTATTTATGGGAAAGAGAAGAAAAACCTAGAATTTTTGTTGTACGTTGTTGTGGCCATTTTCCTTAAAGAGTGTGGCTCTCTAAAGATTTTAGCATTTGTTTTTAATCTTGCAAAATTTTTTCAAACATTTTTTCTTTTTTATTTCCTTCTTTTTTCTGCCGATCATTTATATATATATATATCTGTGTGTGTGTGTGCGCGCGCGCGTGTCTATTTATGGAAAGAGAAGAAACCCTAGAATTTTTGTTGTACGTTGTTGTGGCATTTCCTTAAAAGAGTGTGGCTCTCTAAGATTTTTAGCATTTGTTTTAATCTTGCAAAATTTTTCAACATTTTTCTTTTTTATTTACTCTTTTTTCTGCCATCATTTGTTTTTCATTGACAATTTACTTTTTATGAGTTCTAAAATTCAATTATAGCATACGAAGAAATTTAATTATTCTTAGTTTTTTTATGAGTTTTAAATTGGAAAAATAAAAATTACGTCTTAATTTTGTCTAAAATTTTTAAGATTTTTGCAATTTACATATATAGAGATATTTATTAGTTTTGAAATTCAAAATCAAATCAAATATGGCATGTTAGAAAAACAATAAATATGCCTAAATTTTTAAATTTTCATGATTTATCGGTATAAAAATCATTATTTTTGTGTATTCTAACTTTAAATCAAATATATGGTACGTTCAAAATTTAAAAATTTGAAAAATGTTAAAAAAATTTATGCCTTAAAAAAAATACACATCCCTAAAATTATTGCTCCTTAATTCAACTTCCATTCGATGGATCCAAAGTTGATTCATTTAAAATTGTGTTTCTCTAATTTAACTTCCTTTGAAAGAACCATAACATAACTTAATGTAATAAATAGCTAATTATAAATTTGGTCTCTGATTTTTTTTTTTAAATATTTTATATTTTAGTACCTCAATAAAAAATATTTATAATTAAGTATTCGAACTTATTAAAAATTTTTAGATGTTTACAATCAAATATTCGAATCTATTAAAAATTTTTAATAAAGTATGGCCTAATTTTCAATAAATCGCGGCCTGTTTACGTGGCATACTGAAATTGAAATTACATTTAAGATATGCGGTGATTGCTGATGTAAAAAAATGTTGACGTGTCCAAAGGATACATGGCAATCTTAATGGACATAGAGATAGATTTACTAATTTAACTTTTTTTTTATTTTGATAGCTCTCTTATACGCTGATGGTGATCTTATTCATTTTTAGATTTACTTCAAATTTAAAATCTAAATCTGATAGCACATCATTAATTACGAATCTCCATCAACCAAGATTGAAGCTCAAATTCACCAAACATCTTCCTACTCTTTTCATGTACAAAAATTCCAACCCACAATCTTAAGAATTTAACTAACATTCAAATAGAATGAATAATTTTTGGTAATTCCCAAATAATTATTTCTTGGAATATCAAAATTTAGTTGCACTTTTAAATATGAAATGCTTATCATAATAAATAAATAATCTCCAAATCTATAAAATATAAATTCTCATATCCAATCACCTGCTAAAACTGAAAATGAGATCTATATCACAACAACAACCATATCAAGCAAAGCAAATTACCAAACAAAACTTCAAAAGCAACTGCCTAATATGCATTATTGACAAAAGAGGAAAAGAAAAAGCTTATACTCTGTAAATGATGAACAATGAATCAAAGAAATTACTGGATCCTCTCACTCAATTGTATATCATTTCAAATATAGAAACGAGTAATAAAATTTTAAATTATTGTAACCTTTATCGTCCTCCTCTTTAAAGAAAAACTCTCGTTGCCGTCGTAACATAACCGTAACGAGGCCTTCTGATGTTATCTTGCCTCTTTTTATACACCAAACCACCCACTCCAACCACACTGGCAGCCATAGTCACTCCAACAGCGATTCCGGCTTTCTTTCCGGCGCTCATTCCAAAAGATCATTTCTCATCGTCACAGCCTGCTTCTACATTGTCCTTGTGATGATATCACCCACTTCCGCCGGTGCAAGTGCAGGTGATGGAGAAAGAATTGTAGAGTTCTCAAGCGAGTGACTTGGTGTAGGACTGGAACCAAAAGATAATAGATCTGAAGGAAAAGGCGCTGGCGGTGATGAGATTCGTGAAGTTGTCGGTGGTAATAAAGGAGATCCATATTCTGGTGAAGGGAAAGGAGGCGATGGACATGACAATATTACTAAATTCTACGTTTATGTCAGACTACAATTGTCATGTCATCGATGGACACGTCAGCATTTTTTACATGTCCATAATTTTTCCTACGTGGCATAACATCACATATCTTAAACATAAGGCATACCATCCAAGCAAGTTACACTTGATTATAAATTTTTTCTTTCTAATATTTAATTGCAAATATTTTTCATGAGACACTGAAATGAAATATAGAATATTTGAAGAGTCCGGACACTAAATTTATAATTAACTCTTTCATAATTCAATTTTATCTAATTTTTCCTCTCTTATCAAATTTAAATTTTCTAAATTAAATTCAGCCTAATTGTTAAGAATCTGAACCTTATGAGCAAATTAATCAAATTCAATTAGTAATATATTAATATTTAGATTATAATGAGTTAGGTTTATCTTTAAACCAAAATGGCACCATTCTCATTATACGACATTTACTTAGTTGGTATTTATCCAACTAGTGTTAGGATCCGTGCGATTCAATATTAAAAAATGAAATAATCTTTTATAACATCGACACGAATGCGACACGAAAATTAGACATGTGATATGCGATACGTTTAACCCGTCTAATATCATAACTGATTAAGTGAGTCGTGTTGACCCATATACAACCCGTATAACCCACTTAATATCATAAACAGGTTAAGTGGATCATGTTGACCTGTATTCGATTCACTTAATCTGCTTATAGTATTTTTAAATTTTAACCTATTTAACTTCAATCATATTTAAAAATAAATTTTAACACATAAAATATAAAAATTTCCTTCGAGATTCATCACTAAAATAAAATAAGTAATACAACAATAAAATTTAAATAGGTTTTAGTTGGAGTATTTATATCTAACACTAAAATTATCTCTTTACTCTTAATAAATAGGTCACTTGC